GAAGTCAGAGCAGGCAGAACTAGAAAATGAGAAATTTTATTATCTGAGAATTATTTTGTGTATTAAATTGAATGAACATGGTCTGGATAGCCCACAGACATACCATAAACATTTCTAGGACCTATAATTGGTCCACCTTAATGTTTGTGAGGGTACCCACAAGGCCCCGGCTGAATGCCTTGGTGTTGGAGTCCACCCAACAGAGAGGGTTTCCTCTCTGTGGCTTCATGCTGCAGGAGGGAAGGTCCTGGCTGTTTAGTTCAGTTTAGATTACCCAGCCTTTCTAGAGTCTTTGGATGGTGTTCTGGAAGGGGTGTCATCTAGGGATTCTCTTGTTCTGCTGGGTGACTTCATGCGGGCAACGATGGATTTATCTGGAAGGGGGTGATTGGGAGGAACAGCCTTCCTGATCTGAACTTGAGTGGTGTTCTGTTTTTGGACTTCTGTGCCAAGCACAGTTTGTCCATAACAAGCACCATCAAGCACAGGGAGGTCCATAAGTGTACTTGGTACCAGGACACCTTAGGCCAGAGGTTGATGATCCATTTTGTAATTGTGTCATCGGACCTGCAGCTCCATGTCTTGTACACTCAGGTGAAGAGAGGGGCAGAGCTGTCAACTGATCACCACCTGGTGGTGAGTTGGATCCGGTGGTGGGGGAGACTGTTGGATAGACTTGGTAAACCCATATGCACAGTGAGGGTGAACTGGGAATGTCTGGTGGAGCCCCTGTCCATGTGATCTTTAACTCTCACCTCCAGAACGTGGAATCTCAATGGGACGTGTTCAGGACCTACATTGCAGATGTGGCTTCCAGGAGCTATGGCCTGAAGGTCATTGGTGAACTGAGGGGAGGTTAAGGTCCATGACCAGCAGCCTGGAGGCTACCGTGTCACCAGCGCTGTGGTGCGGGAGTCTCCAGTCCTCCAGTACAATAGCTTATATGCCACGGCTATTAGTGATGTACTTCTGTCAAAATTCAGGCCACAAACCTCACTTCTTGTAATAGTTTTAGTCTCAGCCATAGTTTTTGTTTATTTTTTCACAGTCTAGTCTTGTGTTTTTAGCAGCTCCTATTCTCACCCTCTTTGCTCCTGCTCCCCTCCCTTCACAGATTCTCCACTTAATCAAGCTCATGCAACTCACCTGTGTTCCTCTGCCTACAAGCCAGCCATTTCCCTCAGTCAGTTACCAGTTTATCATCAGCCTTGTCCATGATCTACCAGCATTCTGTTCCCATGTCCTGTTCTTACCTTGGTTCCCCGACTCTTGTTACATCCTCTGGTTTTTTGATCCTCGCCTCAGCCCCTCTTGGATACCTTAGCTCATCGGCTTTCAGGGTAATGACTCTGGTTCTGTTTATGGGATTACTGCCTCTCGCCTCAACCCTGTCCGGCAACACAACAAATCTGACTTCCTGGTTCTCGACCCTCGCCTGTGTCCTGGATTCCCGACAACCACCTAAACCCTCCAACCTGGTAAAACCTCTGCTTATTCTGTGCATGACCCTGGCTTGTTTCACCACTCTGATTCTGCTTAATGGAACATTTAGTCCCACTGAGTTTATCGGTGATGTAAACAAAGCAACCCGGAACCAAACTAACTCTGACGGGGTTCCCCCACAGAGACTTCTTACTAACACCAGGTTGGTGAATTCATGTAACCCCGCACCTTTGACCCAGTTTGTTACCCTCGCTAACGTGTTGTTTCTGTGTTCAGATTACCTGACGAGAGATCCTGTTTGGTTCCACCTTCACACCAGCAATTTTAATAAATCCTGTAAACCTGCTTTTGTGTCCGGATCTTTAACTGTGCTCAGACCAAGTTTCATAACAGATAAACTGGCCATAAATATGAGCACTGATCTGGACAGCGTTTGGAAAGCTGGTGTTGAAGGGGCTTTAAATAAACTTGAAACCTCAGTAAATGATTTGTGCATTACTTTAAACAATTTATCGCTCTGTCCCAGCTCACCCACCTCCAAGCATCATTATGTGTCACCACCACCAGCCCTTTCCAGATCTGATCCACGAAACGAAGTCAAACTCTGTCCACCATAAATGTTTCGTGGTGATCCTGAACGATGTCGAGCTAACTCAATGTGAAATTCATTTCCAATTACAACCATCTTCTTTCCCCTCAGATCGAGCCAAAGTAGCCTATGTTATCTCACTACTCTCTGGCAAACCAAGGTTATGGGGCACTGCTGGGTGGCAATGGGACTCGTTAATCTGCTACCGGTACCAGGACATTGCTCATGAACTACGAGTTTTCAGCCCCATTCTACCGCACAAAGAGTCTACCAGAGGACTGCTGGGCCTAAAACAAGGTAACAGAAGGGTCACAGAGTTTATCATAGACTTTCATACGTTGGCAGTGGACAGCAGATTGAACGAGGAGGCCCTCCAGGACGTTTTTCTCCAAGCTTTGAATGATGACATAAAAGACGAGTTGGCAGCCCGGGAACCCCCACAATCTCTAAGGGAACTGGAGGATCTGGCTACAAAGATCGACTTGAGACTGCATGAAAGGAGGCAAGCTAAGAGAGGTACCCCCAGAAAATTTGATTCTAACCTGTATTATGAAGTCTATTCACAAGCCCAGTCCAAGGAGTCTAAGCCAGTACCTAACTCTGAAGAACCCATGCAGATTGGTAGATCTAAGCTCTCAAAAGAGGAGAAGGACTGGAGGATCAAAGAGGGTCTGTGCTACTACTGTGGTGAGTCAGGCCACATTGTTTTTTCCTGTCCTCRTAAGAGAACCAGAAAAGTCCAGGGTCATGTTCTTAGTCCAGCCTCGGTAGAACACTCACTACTACAGCTACCCGCTGAATTTTCTCCAAAGATTTGGAGTCACACAAAGTCATGTCTGAGCCATTTTACTTCGTTTACTCCAGAACAAACTTTTTGTAAAGTCTGAAAAATGTGAATTTCACACCAACTCCACTACCTTTCTGGGTTTTCAAATCTTTCCTGGTCAGATCTCTATGGACCCCACAAAAGTAACAGCAGTCAAAGAATGGCCCACACCACAGATCAGAAAACAGTTATAACGCTTCCTTGGATTCACCAACTTTTACCGAAGGTTTATCAAAAATTTCAGCTCTATCGCCTCTCCATTGCATGCCCTAACCTCAATCAAAACCAAGTTCTCCTGGGATAGGTTGGTCAACAATGCCTTTAATAAATTAAAAGTCTTGTTTTCATCCTCACCCATCCTCCGTTTCCCTGATCCTAACTATCAGTTTATTGTAGAGGTGGATGCCTCAAGCACTGGAGTTGGAGCTGTTCTGAGTCAACGCTTTGAAGACAATAAGGTTCATCCATGTGCCTTTTTTTCCAAATCTCTGTCCCCAGCTGAAAGAAATTATGATGTAGGCAACCGTGAACTCCTGGCAGTAAAATTGGCCTTGGAGGAGTGGAGACATTGGCTGGAGGGAGCTAAGAATCCTTTCATCGTTCTCACAGACCACAAAAACCTGGAGTATCTCAAGTCGGTTAAGAGACTGAACCCCTGCCAGGCCAGGTGGGCTCTGTTTTTCTGCAGATTTAACTTTTCCCTTTCTTACAGACCCGGAACAAAGAATACTAAACCTGATGAGCTCTCCCGAGTCTATGAGTCTGACCTGACCAGTGGCAGCCAGGGAGAGTTCATCCTGCCTGACGCTGTTCGATTGTCCATCACCCAAGTCAAGAGGGAGATCAGGGAGGCCCACCAGAACTTTCCTGCCCCTCCTGAATGCCCGGATGGTAAGCTCTTTGTTCCTGCTCATCTTGTCTCCAAAGTCATAGAACTCTGTCATTCATCACACCTGTTCTGCCATCCGGGAATTACAAAGACTCTGAAGTTAGTTAGGTCCCAGTTCTGGTGGGGTTCCCTGGAAAGGGACGTTAGAAAATTCATTGGGTCCTGAACCCAATGCTCCCTGGCCAAACCCTCTCGACAACCACCGGCGGGTCTCCTGAGACCACTCCCCACACCATCCAGRCCCTGGTCCCATATCTCCATGGACTTTGTCACCGGATTACCACCGTCTGAGGGTAAGACTGTCATTTTAACYACAGTGGACAGATTTTCCAAGATGGTACACCTCACAGCTCTGCCCAAACTACCCACATCCACAGAACTCAGCCATGTGTTTATGAAGGAGATTTTTAGACTTCATGGCTTACCCAAAGACATTGTCTCTGACCGAGGTCCACAATTTGTTTCCAAGTTCTGGAAGGCGTTTTGTTCTGTCTTGGGCATTAACATAAGTTTGTCCTCAGGATTTCACCCTCAGAYGGATGGGCAGATTGAGAGGGCCAATCAGGAGTTGGAGACCCACCTACGCATCCTCTGTGAGAACAACCCGACGAAATGGTCTGAGAACCTCTCCCTGGTGGAACATTCTATCAATGCTCTACCATCGAGTGCCACTGGTCTTTCCCCATTTTATATCGTGTTCAGATTCCAGACACCTGTGTTCACAACCCACGAATGAGCCGCACAGGTGCCATCAGCTCATCGGGCCGCTCTTCACTGTCAAAGAGTCTGGAGAGCTGCCAGAAGAGAACTACTGAAGTCCTCCATTATTGCCTGCAGAACAGCCTATCGTAGAAGAATCCCTGCACCCCAGTACCAACTTGGAGACAAGGTTTGGCTGTCAACCAGAGATCTCCCCCTATAAGTGGAATGTCGGAAGTTGGCACCTCGTTTCATGGGCCCTTTCCCCATCTCCAAAATTGTGAACCCTGTGGCGGTCAGACTCAGGCTCCCTGCATCCATGAAGATTCACCCCACATTCCATGTTTCCCAGGTCAAACCAGCCATCCAGTCAAGATTTTCCTCACCTCAGCTCCTCTTGGATACCTTAGCTCATCGGCTTTCATGGTAATGACTCTGGTTCTGTTTATGGGATTACTGCCTCTCGCCTCAACCCTATCCAGCAACACAACAAATCTGACTTCCTGGTTCTCGACCCTCACCTGTGTCCTGGATTCCCGACAACCACCTAAACCCTCCAACCTGGTAAAACCTCTGTTTATTCTGTGCATGACCCTGGCTTGTTTCACCACTCTGATTCTGCTTAATGGAWCATTTAGTCCCACTGAGTTTATCGGTGATGTAAATTAAGCAACCCAGAACCAAACTAACTCTGACGGGGTTCCCCCACAGAGACTTCATGCTAACACCAGGTTGGTGAATTCATGTAACCCCGCACCTTTGACCCAGTTTGTTTCCCTCGCTAAYGTGTTRTTTCTGTGTTCAGATTACCTGACGAGAGATCCTGTTTGGTTCCACCTTCACACCAGCAATTTTAATAAATTCTGTAAACCTGCTTWTRTGTCCGGATCTTTAACTGTGCTCAGACCAAGTTTCATAACACTTCTGGGTCCTGCCTACTGCGTGTTCTTTTAAGCATTAGCTCCTAGAACTAGACCAAGAAAAAGTCACAAAAATTAAAGCATCTGCGAGCTACTGGTACAAAAAGTGAGTTCTGTTGTGTCCACTAACCAGCAGATACAAGAGAGTAGTTAGTTTTTCTCCATTTTCCTCTTGATGAGGAGTTAAGGCAACAACAATGGATCATGGCTAAACGCAGGGTAACCTTAGCTATAAAATGTCCTGATGYATCTCAGTAATCCAGGTAGAAAAAATCAAAAAGAAAAATTTAGTAGGTCTTCTGGATGGGTTCTTCTTTAGTGAGAAGAGACTTCTTCAGTCTGAGTTTCAGGTGAACTCAGCCTTATAAGCACTGCCTCCACATGGACAAACAAGTTAGTCACATGCAAAAGAGGGCAATCGCCWAACAATAGGCTTGATTCGCTCTATTCAGTTACATGCAAAAGTGGGCCATCGCCTAACTAGCCTATTKTTAGGCGATGGCCCTCGTACACTGGTGTTACTTTTAACACTATATTTTAACACTGTTGAAATGTAAATGTGACACCCAGTATTGTTAAATATTAAACACTGGTTGATGTTAAATTAACAAAAAATGTCTTATAATTTAACACTTTCACAATTTTTTTTAACACCAGCAAGTGTGGACACATATGGACACTTTGTTGGTGTTGAAATTAACACTCTGGGTGTTAAATTAACACTGTGGTGTTAAAGTGCCTGCACTTGACAAAAAGTCAAAGAAAACATCTTTATACTCGAAAGTTGAAATAATACACAAGATTTAACCCATTTTGTCCCATAACTGGCAGATTTTCTTTTGAACTTGGCTCAGCCAAAGTGAAACAGGAAGTGACATCAAAGGAGATGTCATCAAACAGAGACAAGACCCTGTCAATGCTGCGGTGAATTGTGATACAATATTCACATCCATCCTGACAGCTGTTTACATGGAAAAAATATAAAAATAACACACAACATCCCAGAAGTACTTTTTATTGGAAGCTGAAAACACAAAATGACATTCAATAAACTTTACACTTATTAGATRTCATCTCTCCCCCCACAGCATGCAATTTTGGCCAAAAAGTTTGTGGAAGTGATGACAAAGTACAACGAAGCTCAAGTTGATTTCAGAGACAAAAGTAAAGGACGAATCGCCCGACAGCTGGAGATCAGTAAGTTGATTCAAACAAAACATTTATTCACAAAGTAAAACTCCTTATAGACTAGCTTTATCAAGCCTGTAGGATCCACCTCCCTTTTCAGACCTAACCATGAGTTTTTTGAAGTACAGCTTTACAATATGGGTACAAATATAGGCTCCTGATACATAGTTATTATTGCAGTTATTAGAGTATGTGAACCAGTTAAAGCTGTGGTGTCTTTCAGTATATTTATTTTAATTGTTCTTTTGACAAATAATTAGTTTGCCTGAAATGTAAACTATTTAGTTGGTCCTCCTGTGCATGTTTTTAAATGTTTTTTAATTATATTTTGCTGCCTCTCTAGTCATACTTGATCACATTGCAACCATTCAAACATCTAATTGAYGAGAGCATTTAGAAGAGGCTTGCTGTGACTTTAAAAGCTCTGTTGTGACTGCAGCGGGAAAAACAACAACTGATGAAGAACTGGAGGAGATGCTGGAAGGGGGGAATTCTGCTGTTTTCACTGCTGGGGTAAGACCCGCTGCTGCCAGCACAACCCCTCTGAAATACTGGGCGGTTATACTGGGGGCGGGGCTTTTAAAGCATCAATTATGATGTCACCACACAAATATTTATTTTGACAATTGAAGTTACATCCACCTGGTTTCTGTTATTTCCATGTGACATGATGGATTAAAAAGAAGGATTTAATCAACACCATTTTTTTTCTTTACAACCGTTCGACTCCTGATGGCCTCAGTAAACAGGATAAAGACATTTAAATATAAACATTTATGTTGTTGTGATTATTAAACTTTTCTAATACTGCGTTCCAGTTGTATYGGAACTCGAAATCCTGAAGCCGGACTGACGTCAGTTCTGAGCTGATAGCTTTCCAGTTTCAAACATCGGAAAAAGCGTTTCTATTATTTTTCTCTGCAACAATACAACGTACAATAATAGAGCTCTACGAGGTATTTCGAGTGTACAAACAGTGTTAAAACATATATTTTAACTATCACTATAAAGCACTACAAGTACGTCTGACGTAATGTAAAATAAACAACACAAAACAAAGCCGCGTTTGTTTACATGTTACGTTATCGGTTAGCTCGGACAAGCATGCTAGTAGGCTACATACATTAAACAAATATAAAATGGGAAAATAAACAAACAAATTACACTCATTTTTATTCTGCCTCCTCTCTTCTTACTTTCTGTCTGTTAAATAATGGGGATGGTGCTTGTGTACGTTTGATTACAGCTCAACATTAGCCGTTAGCTTGGAGAAACATGCGCGCAGCAGCCATGTTGAAATGATGACGTAACGCATGCTCAGGATTCTCGGGTATGGTTTGGATGCGCCGACCTCCCGACTCGAAACTACGACTTCAGGGGGCGTTCCAGTTGAAAAATAAAACTCGGAGGCTCGAAGCTACGACCTCCGAGGACAACTGGAACGCAGCGTAAGCATGGACCACTTCAGAAAATAACTGTTCAAAAACAAATTTATTTTAAAAATACAGATCAGGAACATACTACATCTACATTAACACTAAATCTTATGTTTCATATTTCTTRTTTTATTCATGTTTTCAGTGGTTAGATCAAATGTGCCATTAAACAGTTTGATAATAGCAGCTTTTAGATTTATAATCATTAACTGTAAAAATAAGGTCAGCCACCACACTAACAGTAGTCTATGGGCTATGTTTAAATATGACCCAAATCAGATTTTTTCCTGACAATGAGAWTGTGACAATCTTACTTTTTTCAAATGCGTCCCAGGTTTTTTCAGTATGTGGAACTGAAACAGGTACATACACTCACCGGCCACTTTATTAGGTACACCTGTCCAACTGCTCGTTAACACTTAATTTCTAATCAGCCAATCAC